TGAATGAAATATGTTAACCTTCAGATGTTACTAATTGATTACAAAAACAAAATCATCGGGCTCAGCCATCAAACAAAAAACTTCAGAATCTCTAAATGTTATATATTAAGTTCACGGTGTTACTAGTTGTTCGTAAAAATAAAATTATCGAGTACCACAAAAAACTTCAGATTCTCTAATTGGAGTATATTATATTTACGGTGTTACTAACTGTTCATAAAAATATTATCATCGTGCACCACATAAAACTTCAGATTTTCTAAATGGAATGTTTTAGCTTTGAGATGTTACTAATTGATCCTAATAATAAGTTAGGTCTATATTTCTCTATATACAAAACTGCATATAGAATACCTGATTGAATCTATCTATATAAGTTATAGATAGAAGAGAATAGGATCACATACGTATATAAAAATATCTACGTACACGTCAGCACACACACATACATACAACTGAGCATACATGATGTCATAAATATTTTATAAAAATGTAATTTATATTCTTAAAACTAGTGATTTTAATTAATCAAACTAATAAATGCTTTCAAATGATAGTTAAAGTTCTGCATGTTCGATCTGTCATAATTAAATCCTTTATTTAATAAAAAATTCCAAATTCTGGGTCCTCTGCAAATGATGTGTTGATGTAAAATTTTCGTTTTTGATTTGTTGGAACAGATGAAATTGATGCGCCTTTGATTCTTCGTTCGTTTATAATAACCGTCAAAAATAGGAGGTAGTTTACCAGTCAATTGTTTGTCGATGAATTTTGTCGCGTGATATGTACTCATTTGATCGAAAGTCAGATTGCTTGTCGTGGCGAATAGCGGTTGTGAATGGGATTGAGCTTTGGAAAGTGTGATTGTTCGCATCGCTCTCTTCATGATTATTCTTATTGGATTTGTTGTAGATGGATAGGCGCTTGACCAGACTGTATTGCAGTATGAGATATAAGGAGTACAGATGGCTTTATATAGCATGTTAAGAATTCTTTTAGGCAAGAAAAATTTTATTTTATTTAATAGACCAATTGATCTTGCTAGTTTTGTGCAAACATATCGAACATGTTGTTGAAACGATAATTTTTGATCCAATATTACTCCTAAAAATTTTGCTTTCGAGAATATCCGAATTATTTGTTACGATCTTATATGGCTCCTTGTAGTTTAAATATTGGACTGGGCCAAAAATAATCATTTGAGTTTTTCTGCTATTCAATGTCAACATATTACATTCAAACCATGAGACGACCTTTTTAATTTCACTATTAGTCTTCAAGATGTGTTCATCGATGTTTTTGCCTGTACTGAATAGATTAGTATCATCTGCGAAGCAAATGTAATCAAAGAATGTTGAAACTTTCGGGAGATCGTTGATGAAGACAATGAATAGCAATGGACCCAAAATACTGCCCTGAGGTACTCCAATTTGGTTTAATTTTTCGCTCGAGCATGTACCCTGCCAGCTAACAAATTGACTTCTCTCCGATAAGTAACTTCTGAACCATTTCAGTTGCGAGCCACGTATTCCATAATGGTCTAGTTTCGCCAGCAAGATGTTGTGGTTGGTGCAATCGAATGCCTTCGAGAGATCAAGGCACGTGCCTACGATGTATTTTTTGTCTTCTGCTGCGATCCCTATTTTTCTGATCAATTCTATTATTGCCAGCTCAGTCGAGTACTTCTCTCGAAATCCAAATTGTGAATCGTTAATTATGGAATTTTTTTTGAAGAAGATATTTAGCCTTTTGTACATTATTTTTTCTATTATTTTCGAAAAATTTGATAAAAGAGCAACGGGTCGAAAATTAGTTAAATCATTGCATCCCTCATCCTTTTTAATCGGTACAATTTTTGAGACTTTGAAACATCGTGGGAATGTGCCGGAGTTGAAAGAAAGGTTAATTAGGAATTCCAAAATGTGAGCTGTTGAATGTATGGTAGATTTTATTATTTTCATAGGAATGCCATCCCATCCACTGGTTGTTTTTGGTTTGAGAAGTCTGGTTGTTGCAATTATTTCATCGCTTGAGGTCGACAGACAGAAGAACGAGTTTTGAAGTTTATTAGTGAGGTGATTTTTCCAGAGTGTTGAATTGTTGAAACATGAACCTAGTTTTATAGCTATACCGATGAAATAATCGTTTAAGGCGTCCGCAGGAGAACGAACAATTTCACTGTTTGATGTGACGGTATTGGTGATTTTATTTGTGCTGATTATGTTCTTAATAATCGACCACGTTCTTCTGTTATCTTTTATGTTCTTTTCTATGATGTCGCTGTAGTATTGTTTTTTTAGTTTGTTTTTAAATTTGATGCAAGATTGTCTAATTGACTTTAATTCAATTAGATTTTCAATATTCGGATTTTTTAGATATTTTGTATACAGTTTGGTTTTTCTATTTAACATTATTTTAAGATCATCAGTTATCCAAGGTTTATCACGTGATATTTTTTTAATTTTTCTTGCTGATGAAATACGACAGCATTCGTTGAAGTTCTTTACAAAAATCTCTATGAATCGTTGAAACCCGACATTTACATCCTCACAGTTTAAAACGTTTGACCAGTCCATGTTTATTAAATATTCGTTCAGTCTGTTGATTCGTTCACTTGTAAACGAGTATAATTTCTCCTTCAGAAAATGGTTCTTGATTCTGTTAGACTTCATATTTACAATTATAAAAATTGGTAGGTGGTCCGAAAGATCACATACCTGTGTACCACATATTCTACTGCATTTGGTTCTCTCGTGAAAATGTTATCAATGACTGAATTTTTATTTAAACTTATTCTTGTTGGGGTTGTTATTAAAGTTGATAGGTTGTATGATGTTAATAATTGTTGAAGTTGGAATTTGCTGGCATTTGAATCGGCATCAAGTAAATTGATGTTCATGTCACCGATCAGATAAACTAATTTGTTCTCTAGACTTATGATTTGTAGTACCTGTTCGATTTGTTGAAGATACATATTTGCGTCATAGGTAGGAGGCCGATATGTTATTACAATTATTGCATTTTTATTGGAACAATCGTTTGTTATTTCTATGCTGAATAATTCTATGCTGCTAATGCTATTGATGTCGTTTCTTGTTTTATACGTAATACCGTTATCAATATACAAACCGATTCCACCACCGTGCTTACCAGACCGATTTTTACCAACAAAATCATAACCAGTAATATTTATTAACTTGATATTGTCATCATTCAGCCACGTTTCACTTATACCAATAATGTTTTATTTAAAAGAAAAGTTGTTTAAATAATCGAGTAAGTCTTCTGATTTGTGAACTAAACTTCTAATGTTTAAATGCATTAGCTTGAAAAACAAATTGTCGTTAATTCCGTTGTCGCTGATGGAATTATACAAAGCATTTATTTGATTTATATCGTCATATAGTCTGCAGGTTTTTTCTACGAGATTGCTGCGAGTATCGTTAACAGTATTTAACGAATTTTTGTCAGCCATGTTTGTTCGTTGTATCGGAGTTTTTGTCGGTGTTTTTCCCGAAACGCCATTCGCGTACAATGATGTGTTTTAACATAATTTCCGGGTCCTTCATCTTCGGTCCATCGCAACTTTCGACACATACACGAAACATCGTTGATTCTTCCTCATCCTTGTTTACTGGATCGCTTATTTCCTGATTAGAACGTTTTATCACCGGAAAACAAGAGATGACGTTTATACCACTTGTTTTAAGAAAATCTATGACATCATTTCTGTGACATCTTTTTACGTTGCTCATCAAGAAAACGGTCTTTTTTATAAGGTTCTTTTTGGTCTGAAGTTTGCAGTTGTCGATTACTTTGATGCCAATAATTTTTTTAATTGGTTTTGGAATGGATGCGTTAACATTGCCCGTGTTACCGGTGGTACCACTTGATTTCATTTCATTATTATCTTCAGATGAGTTGTTTAGTCTGGCTCTTTTTTATTTCTGGAAATGTACTCTCTAAACCCATCATCCACTGGTGTTTTCTCGGCATCTGACCACAGGTTTCCAGGGTTGAAATTTTGATTATTTACGTCAATAATTAAATCGCTTGACTTTTCAAGTAACTTTGGCGCTATACTTTTTTCAACTTCATTACAGTGTGATGTTTTAGTGCCAGATATTAATAAATTCGATGAAACTTTGTCAGCGTAGCTACAATGATGCATTTTGCTACTTCGTCCTAAGGGATCCGAGTTTGAAAGCAGTTTGTTGTGGTGATTATAATATGTCGTTTTATCGTAGTTCAGCGCTATATTATTAACGGTGTTTTTTACCGCGCAAATTTCCTTGTTGTGCACCTCTAAGGTATTAAGCACGTGCTGCTGTTGGCTGTGCAATATGTCGGTAATTTCTCGTTTTAAACTTTCAAAATTTAATTTAACCAAACTTTCCATATCTGGAATTTTTTCCAGGTCACTACTGACAAAAATCGGACATTTGTCCATCAAATCTGATAATTTTAGATATTTTAAAATAGCAATGCAATCTTGTAACCTTTCTTTTTTAGTCGTTCCACGAGGTATGATTTTGTCGAGTTTTTCACTTTTATTGACTTCCATTTCATTTTTTAATATTTTTAAAGCTCCAACAATGTCGTCATTTGTATAAAATTCCGAAACATTATTAACAAAGTTTTCATCATCAAGTAAACCGAACTTATTTTTCAAAAAATACAGGACTTTGTTAATTACAACCGTCCTGGTCGCCATATTAAATCCATACATACATACATACATGCATACATATATACATACATACATACATACATGCATACATACATACATACATGCATACATATATACATACATACATACATACATACATACATACATACATACATACATACATACATACATACATACATACATACATACATGCATACATACATACATACATGCATACATACATACATACATACATACATACATGCATACATATATACATACATACATACTTACATACATACATACATACATGCATACATACATACATACTTACATACATACATACATGAATACATACATACATACATATATACATACATACATACATACATACATACATACATACATACATACATGCATACATATATACATACATACATGCATACATACTTACATACTTTTTGAAAAATGGCAAAGATGGGGGAGTTAAAAAGATGGGGGAGTTAGACCTATTGTGGTCGGTAACTTTTGGAGAAGGTTGGCCAGCAAATGTGCTCTGATCTTGGTGTTGGAAGAAACCAAGGCGAAACTTTACCCAATTCAACTGGGCGTTGGGGTGAAAGGAGGAGCAGAGGCGGCCGTACATGCGGCCCGTAAATTGGTTCTGGACTTACCCGATAAATGGGGTTTTTTAAAAATTGACTTCAGGAATGCCTTTAATACCCTGAGGAGAGATTCGATGCTGGAGGCAGTCAAACGGCTCTGTCCCCAAATTTACAATTACTGCCACTCCGCATATGGCCGAATCTCTTCTCTTGGTTATAACACCTGGGTGATGGAATCGTCCGAGGGGGTGCAACAGGGTGACCCTTTGGGGCCGATGTTGTTTGCTCTGACCCTACACCCGGTGTTGGAAAAATCTCTTTCAAAATTCGTTTGCGGCTACCTGGACGATATCAGTTTGGCCGCCGATGGTGCAATTTTAGCTACTGATTTCCTGTCTTTAAAAGACAATGCCTCCATCATTGGGCTTGAGCTTAATATTAAAAAATGCGAATTGTACGCAAACGACTCTTTTGAAATGCCACAGACACTGGCGGAAGTGCCCTTAGTGTCTGAGGCATCATTGAGCTTCTTAGGCACCCCATTGATGGAGGGTGAGTTTCAAAACACTTTTTTTAATAAAAAACTCGCAGAGCTGAAATTCGCCCTCGACCGAGTGTCTCATCTTCCGGTCCACGACGCGCTGACCATCGTCCGCAACGCCCTTAGTTTGCCTAGATTGATGTATTTCCTTCGTACATCCTTCTCGGTTGATGCATCCATTTTGGGCGGATTCGATGGCGCCCTGAGGTCAGCTTTGTCAGCCCTATGCAATGTTGAGTTGACAGACAGGGGCTGGTCTCAGGCCCAGTTGCCGGTTCGGTTTGGGGGACTGGGATTGTTAAGCGTGGTCCAGCTGGCACCTATTGTTTACAAATCATCTGCCGCTGCCACGCTCGACCTGCAGTCTGCCCTGCTCCGGCAATCTTTCACGAATCTTGGTACCCTACCAGCATCACCCAACCGAGCAAAACATTTTCAAGCTCGGTTGCTGGAAGAGGCATACAAAACAACTTTTCAGTTTTTGTTGTCCTCTAGTCCCGACGATGCAACTTCGGCTCGTCTGCTGGCCGCGTCAAGCGACGCGAGCTGCGGTTGGTTGAGATCCTGGCCCAACTCATCGGTGGGTACCCGACTGGATGATGAGACGGTCAGGATGGCCATTGGTTTTCGTCTGGGTTTAACGGTCCACCATAAATATCTGTGTAGGTGCGGTGCGGAAGCTAACGAACTCGGTCACCACGGCCTGGTCTGTCGTTTAGGTGGAGGTCGTCAGTTGCGCCATTCCGCATTAAATGATTACATCTGCGGGCTTTTCTCCAAGGCTTCAATACCCGTTCTTAAAGAGCCCTCGGGAATTTCCGCGTTGGATGGAAAACGTCCGGATGGCTGCACGTTGATTCCTTGGAGAGCCGGTAGATGCCTGGCGTGGGACGTAACCGTTCCGGGCACATTAGCGGAACGGTACGTGCACTTAACCAGCAAAGAAAGTGGTTTGGCCGCAACCAGGGCATCGGATGAAAAGTTTAAAAAATATGAAGGTGCCCTGCCCTCGATGGATTTTTTACCTGTTTGCATCGAGGTTCTTGGCCCGATGGACAACAACACTTCAATATTTTTTAAAAAGATTTGCAAAATGATAAGTGGCAGGTCCGGCGACAGCAGAGAGCTATTTTTCGCCATGAATCATATATCTTGTTTGCTGCAAAGGTTTTTGCGCGTCTGTGTTACCGAAAATGTTCAATTAAACGCCGACGTGAGCGAATAACGAGATATCAATTGTTAACCGATTTTTTCGGATGTTTGACTGTTTAGTGTCACTCATCGCTGATTTGGTTTTAACTTACATACTTACATACATACATACATACATACATACATACATACATACATACATACATACATACATACATACATACATACATACATACATACATACAGACAGACATACAGACAGATAAACAGACAATTATTTTTGGATAACATAGGTACTAAAATAGCTGAAAAATCCGGTGATCGCAATGATAAAATTTATATAAATCAAAATATATCGTTGTTGTTGCAAAAGTTTAATTCATTTTGTATTTTAGCGAACATTCTTAAGTACCCTTCTGTGCGAGACCCTGTACACTAATATTATCTGTTGAGCAGGGGCAAAATGATAGTTTTTATGGCTATTGTTTTTAACCATGGGCTCGCACATGCATACATATATATACATACATACACACTATAAAAAAAATACAATTATATATATATACACACACTTTCTTGTTTTTTTAGCTATCACCACTAATATTGAATTTTGTAAACATTTGTTTATTTAATGTTCTTTCATCTGTTTATGTATATTTTCACATTTTTGCCTATACAAAATCTGGCTTGTGGTGTCTGTTCGATTCTCCTTGCTGACAAAATGTTAAGATAAACCAAACAGGGCAGCAGTTATATATATTTATATATGTCTGGGTGTTAATGTTAGTGTGTGTGTGTGTGTGCGTGTGTGTGTGTGTTTGTGTGTGTGTGTGTGTGTGTGTGTGTGTGTGTGTATGTGTGTGTGTGTGTGTAAACAACAACAACATACTTAGACGCAACAGTGATATTAGCAACAACAACAACAAAATTCTTTCCACAAACAAACAAAAATATTGCGACAACAACAGCAACAACATTACGAGTGGCCACAGATGTGAGTCACGTGCTCTCAACATTCGTCCATAAACCAGAATATTTCATTCCTGTTTCCATTTTTTTCGTTTTTCAGCGATTCGTGTTCATTTAATTCGTTTATTTTTCCGCTTTTTTGATCATTCATTCGTGCCAGTCAGAATAAAATTTAACTAAATCTTTAATATTGATGATTGAAGTGAATTATTTGCAGAACAAAGTCTGACTGTTACATTTTAAACATCTGATGTGCATTCTGATTAATACTCTTCATCTGATTTTTCATTTCAAAATCGTCATTTTCATTTGTTTGATTGAGTGAGTGTATGAGTATTTTTTATTCATTCATATGTTGTTTTTTCATCGTTGGTCAGTTGATTAATTGTCCAGTAGGGAGAAATTTTAGTGGCGTTTATTCATCAGTTCCGTCTCGTTATCGTTAGAATCGTTTCGGTTTCGTTATTTTTATCATCAATTTCATTGCGCTCGTCGTCATAATTTTTTATCATAATCATTTTTATGACGTCACTATTATCATCATTTTCAGCAATGTGTTTTCATTAATAACATATGGTTCTAATCATTTTCATCATTATGTATGATACCGAAAACTTCATCACAATGGTTATACCACCAACATCAACAACAACTAAAACAACAATATAAAAAACATCGACAACAATGAAAACGACATAAAAACATAAACATAAACAACACAAACATTGTCAACATTCCAAACAAACAACAACACCGCACAACTAAACGTCACCAACAACACACCACATGTCAACGCCAAAAACATCTAGAGCCACAAATTGAACAATCAATTCAGCGACAAATACAACATGGTATATATCAATAAAACTCTCACATACAACAACACAACATATCACAACAGCTTACAACAAGCAACATCACACAACATCTCGCAACAACACATTACACAACACACACTACGCGCAACGACTTCAGCAGTAGTGGCGTTAACAACAACAATTACACTTGTCAGAGGCAAATAATAGCTTGTGTAGCTGGTGATTTGTCGAAACATGCTAGCCAAGACAATAACGAAATAGCAAAAACATGACAAAACAAAATTTAAAACAACATAAAACCAAAACAACAGCAGCAATATAACACTGAAAACAGCAACAAAACAGTCAAACTAACACGACGACGACAAAATGATGTGACTAACAACTCGAAAATACAACAATAGAGAAACAAAAACAATATCACTCAATCAATACAAAAACAAAGCATAAATAGACCAAACATCAAAACACAAAACAATATATAAAAATATATACAATCACCTTGCCATTAATGAATGTTATCAATAACAACCGAACAGCAAATTTAATCAGAAAAGCTAAATACTTCAACGACAAAGTTATTTCTAACATTGATGTACTTTTTATAAAGATGAAATAAATGTTAAATACATTTGTTATTTAATGACACTTATAATATGATGATAAGGTTGGTTGGTATTATGCATGGCACATGCAAAATAACAAGCCCCTAATTCATGTAACAACACTAAACTAAATCAATAGTAACTAGTGAATGATTCGTAAAATTAAAAACAGCACAACAAAACTATAGCATACACGACATTACATTCTTTTTCATATGGGCATGTAAAACGCATTAAAGATTAAAATTGTTTAATAAAAGTTCTAAAGGAAAGACAACAAAACAAAGACAAAAAATAACATTTTAAATAATAATATTCTCAAAAATGAACTTCCGGTTGAGGTTTTACGATCTTTTATTACGACTTCTTCAAATTCAATCCGCAATTTTCGAAATTTTTTCTTTTCAATGGCTTTTTTTTATTTTTTTTTTATTTTCTTACCTGTGCCTGTTTGAAATTTTTGTCATATTATTTTTTCAAAGACATGTTCAATTGTTCCCTTGAAAAATTTGATGAGCGTTTGTGTTTTTTTTTCTTATTAACAATGTTAAACCCTTGCTTTCCTTGTTCATTTTTTCCAATCAATTTCAAAGTAATTCAGTTTCATGAATTTTTTTGTTCCCGATTAATTGAATTATTTTGAACAATTTTTTTCTGCCATTAAAAACATCAAAACTTTCAAAAAAAAATAAGATTGTATTTTTTGTTTCTATCAAACAATGTTTGTTGAAAGGAATATCGACCTGTCTTGTAAAAGACTGATAATGTTCCAACAATTTTTACTACAAGGACATTAATACTATAATATTAGTACTAATATATATTTAGATATATATACATAAGTAGGCCTACTATGAAAGTAGCAGAGTGCGATTTTAGTACTATTATGCCGAGAGTAGTAATTTGCTAATATAAAAAATACTAACCACATTGAAATCTTCAATGCAATTGCTTTTACTGCTGGCATTACTAACGCTGTCACTAAAACCAACTCAAAAAATATTAATACTACTGCCAAATACGTTACTACAATCATTGCTATCCCAACTTCGACTACTACTACTACAGCTACTACTATTGCTACTACTTCTACTACTATTTCTTCTACTACAACTTCGACTGCTATTTCTACAAATACTATTACTACTACTATTTCTACTACTACTACTTCTACTACTACAACTACTACTACAACCGTTTTTAGCGCTACAACATAGTACTTTGATGTATTACTAAGTAATACTACTGCAAATACTAGCAATATAGATGATGAAATCATTAACATTATTACTGCTTCTGAAACGATTACTTTAATAACATCATTAATAATATAGATGGGCAGGAAGGACGCAATTATCGGAAGAATTCCTTGGTGGCCGCTCGAACGTTCGACTCGCTGACTCCACTCGAACTTTTTAAGTACATCTGCACTGAATGTACTCATGTGCGTACGACACTTAGTAAGTACCCTATAGTATAGTATAGTGTCGGTATAGTACATTTGTATATATTATTATTATTATTATTATTATTATATTATTCTTTTTGTTTGTTTGTTCGTTTATTTTTTTTTTAATATTTTTACAGATATTTATTACTTAATTGCCATAATTGTTATTATCTAATTTTAACAAAATTTTAAGTCATTAATTCCATTTTTAATGTTTTTAAATAAAAAATAATACTTATTATCATAATGGGATAATTATTAATGATTAATAATAATCATCATTATTTTTATAATGTGAATGGAAGCAGTTTTAAGACGCCATGGACGTATGATCCATTAAAACACTGCCTTACTTTTATTTTAAATGAATAAGTTTCTGTTTGTATGTACGCATGTTTGTGTGTGTTCTCGAGCCGTCAACATCATCGTCATATTCATCATCATCACTATTATATTTCCAATCATATTCTTTGTCTTTTTCTTCATTATCACCATCATATTTTCAATCATATCCTTCTTCTTCTTCTTCTTCTTCTTCTTCTTCTTCTTCTTCTTCTTCTTCTTCTTCTTCTTCTTCTTTTTCTTCTTCTTCTTTTTCTTCTTCTTCTCCTTCTTCTTCTCCATTATCATCATCATCACTATTGATCATAATGATCATAATCCTCATCAACAACATGGTAAAGCAGCAGATGGCTGTAGTATAAACTACATCCAGCAATTCATTTATTTATGCAGAGTAATTAAGAATTTATTTCACAGGCACTGACAACAAATATTTTGCGAACGTGATTTTGCTTATTAATTATTTGAAGAACGAAAAATTGATTTAGAAAACTGTATACATATACTTATAAAATAACCATTTTTGCGTGTGCATGTGGTCACGTTTTGTATGTGTCTGTATGTGTGTGTGTGTGTGTGTGTGTGTGTGTGTGTGTGTGTGTGTGTGTGTGTGTGTGTGTGTGTGGGTGTGTGTGTGTGTGGTTGTCTTACGTGTATAAATTGAG